AAGTACTGCATCCAGTTCTGGGACCCCCAACACAAGAAGGACATGGTGTTGTTGGCACAGGTCCAGAGGAGGGCTCATGAAGATGATCAGAGTGCTGAAGCACCTCCCCTATGAAGACAGGCTGAGAGGTGGGACTCTCAGGCATAGAGAAGACTCCGAGCAAAACTTATAGAGCCTTCCAGTACTTGAAAGGGGCCTGCGGGAAAGCTGGTGAGGAACTTTTTATAAGAGCAGGTAGCAACAGGACCAAGGGAAATGGTTTTAAACTGGAAGAGGGAAGATTTAGACTAGATATCAGGAAAAAATTATTTTCTGGGAGAGTGGTGAGACACTGGAACAGGCTCCACTATGAGGCTGCGAGTGGCCCCTCTATGGAAGCACTCAAGGCCAGGCTGAATAGGGCTGTGAGCAACCTGGTCTAAAGGGAGGTGTCCCTTTCTAAATAAAGCAGGGGTGCTGTAACTGGGTTATCTTAAAGTCCATTCCAACCCAAACCATCCTATGATTCTTCCATATTTCACAGATCACCTCTGAAAATACAGAATAAGGAAAAGTTGCCTTTTGATTTTTAAGCAGAAGTGCCATGACATTAGCTTCCCCCCCCTCGTGAGAAGTTAGAAGGTTAAAATACACATTTTTGTTTTACTGGATTGTCTCTGAAACACACTGGATAACGTCTTCTTTCCAAACCAAAGGCTAGAAGTAGACCAAGAATGACAGTCCTAACCTCCAGAGAAAAAGTAAAGATGCATAAGCCTGTCTTCCCTTTTCTCGTCTCTCAGTGCCAGCTGCTGGGTAAGTCCCTTTATGGAGCAGAAAGCTTTCAAATAATAGCTGTCCGGAATTATAGGATAGACACAAAGCAAATCACGTCAGAATACCTGATCCTCTTGACAATGACTGCTGTAGCATTTTTAGTGCTTACTTGCAGATAAGACTCTTGGGAATGTGCAGATTTTAAGGTGGAGGGGCATAGAAGAAGAGGAGGAGTCATGTTTCTGCAAGCCTGGTATCAGACTCTGACCTGAGATAATGAGATATTTATGCCATGTTACTCCCATGACATGTCAAAATGTATCAGATCACCGTGTCCAAAATCTTCAGAGAACAGGAGAAAAGTACTTAAGGCACTCAGTAATGTAGTATGGAAACACCGAAATGGTAACCTCCCTTCCCCCCCACACCAGGAATGGCATTTGTGCTAAACATTGTTGTAAACTATGAACTAGCAAGTTTCATTGTGGAAGACCTTGCCAAAGCTGTTCATCAATAAGTGAGATTTAATGTAGGATTTATTAGGTGCTATTTTTCTCTAGTTTCCACATCTTTACTTCCCCGCTAGGATATTTTTCCACATTAAATCAATTTGCAACTTTCAGCCATGCTCTAACTAGCACATTTTTCTCCAGTTGCTCTACACTATTGGTTCCCAGCCTGAGAAGTTGTGTAGCAATTCTTTGAAAGCACTCATAAACTTCCAGCTTTTACCCCTGCTAACAATAAGTTTTATCTTATTTGTGACCTATACAAGATAAAACAGACATTAAAAATTAAGTTAACAACTACAGTCAAACTTTTGAATGGTATTACCTTGGTTTATACTTTTTTTTTTTCAGCTCTGCAACTACACATTTGCCAAGATTATGATAAACTGAAACCATAGCAACACATTCAGTATTTATGTTAACCATGAAGCAAGAAGAAAGATAGCTAATTATTATTATTATTTTTACTCAGGAGATTATCTTGATTAAAGAAAACACAGATTATCTATTATAAAACACAATTCTTTTTAATTAGAGACCCGTATTTCTAAGTTTGGAAGAATGGACAATTCAGTTAAGCATTTAACGTCATAAAGGAGGATGCAGAACACCTGATTTGCTTTTCTAGTAACTGCTTTGCTCCAGAGAAATTTTAGACAACAAACCATGACATTTTTCTTCCCCTCATTGAGAGCTCTTCTACCTGCAGTATTACATAGTGAATAATGACAGCACATACTGATTTTAAGTTGCACTGATCTGGATTTGTCACATCCAAATCTTTTGTTGGTATGCTCCAAGGACAAAAGGTGGTGGTCGAAGTCTGTTCAGTGGCATATTTGCCCTTCTTACATCGTGGTATTCATATTGTTTTTCTCATCAGGCTATCTTGTTTCTTTTGTAATATGCACTGCTAATAACTTAAAGATATTAAAATGGCAATGCAGGGTCTTCTAAGAGCCTTATCTACTATAACAGTCCAAGTCTGAGAATTGCCTACAGTGAATGCCACTGAAAAGGACAAGAGCAAGTCAAGCAACCACAAGGGCTTCCTCTGAGCAGTACTGCAGATGTTAGCCAACAGGTGACAGTGCACCCCCTTATGTTGCCTGGGTTGTCCCATTCCCCAGTCTGGCTCTAACAATCTTAAGCAATACTCAGCCATAATTTTATTAAAAAAGAAACTTAAAATTAGGCCTGATGTTATTAACATTTATATTTGAGCTAGTCTATAATAGTGTTGTTAGAAATACTAATTAAAAAAAAAACTACAAATCTCCATATTACAACCACCAGTATTCAGCACTTCAAGGAAACAGCTCACTGCTCACAAGACCTCACAACAAGCTATTTGCTTTCATCATTACTTTTTCATAGCTTTTAAGGAAATCTCATCACTTCAGTACTTTGTCTACATTCGTCCTTTTCAGACATCCACCTAGTAGAGATAAAAAAAAAAAAAGCTATTTCCACTTCTAACAATGATGTTCCTATGCAGCATAACAGAGCACATAAAGACTGCTAGCCTCTGTAGTAGAGATTCATGATTTTTACTGCAAAGGCATAAGAGCATCATAATTCTGGGATTCATAGGGAAAGCTATGTGAGAATTTTTTAGATAAGTAAGAATGACCCATAATTCACTAGCAGCCACAGGAAATTCTACTGCCTATATAGCTTTGAAAGCAAGAAATCAAACTCAACTGTACATTAACTGATTTTTCAACCTACTAAGCTAGCAAACAAATCCCATCTGCAGAATATTTGCATTATTACTGGTAGTGAATGTTTGCTACATATATGAACAAAAACTTTGGGCAAATGAGTGATATCAGCTGTTTTCATTTTTCCTTCTGCAGAGATAATTAAACTTTACTACTTGGATACTTTTCAATTTTGTCATGAAGAAAAATTTTATGAATATTTTAGAAAAGAACAGCAAATGTTTTTGATGTGATACAACACACCCACCTTTGAAGCATGGAATACTTCTTGCATTGTTTGTTACAATTACCTGACAAAGCAGTGTAATTATTTATGCTGAAGTTCAGTTTCATTTGACACCTCTAAGGCAATGCCCAGAATCCCAGACATAACAACAGAAAGAGGAATTAAAAAAATACTGTTGTTTGAAACCCTGCTTGTAAGGGTCATGAGATAAAGCTCTCAGGAGACTGGCCAGTGAAAAACACACATTTCTAAAATTAATTCCATAGGTCAGAAGTTCAGTTCAAACTCTTTCTGGAAGACTATTTAAACCTAGGAGTTTACTATTCACTCAAGTCACTCTTCAACAACTCATCTGCTTTATCCATCCTATTTAAGCTGCATTTCTTATCCAAATACAAATTAGTAACAGTTTCAAACCATTACAAACCATAAAGTTTTCCTGTTACAACTAGCTTCAAGCAGGAAACAAAATGAAAATTTCACCCAAGAAAGCCTAGATAGCAACAGGCCCACTGTTATCATGACTAAAATGAAAAATGTTTGTTCATATCACAAACCAGTCGGACATCAAAACAGACAAACCCCATTGTGCTAGGCTCTATGCTAACAGAATGAAAGAGAGAAGTGTCTGTACTAAAAAGCCAAACAATCTTTCTGGAGGTCTGGGGCAAGGGAAGAGGACGTAGTGGAGGAAAGAAATAAAGTGCATCAACTATTACGCATAGGCTAAACACCAAGAAGAATTCACTTGGGAGATAGTTTTCAGGGAAAATCATAGAATGGCTTATGACCATAAGATCATCCATTTCCACCCCTCTGCCATGGACAGAGATGCCCAAGGCCCCATCCAATCTGGCCTCCAGGGATGGGGCACCACAGCTTCTCTGGGCAGCTGTGCCATCCTCTGAATAAAAAATTTCTTCCTACCAGCTAACCCAAACTTCCCCTTTCAGTTTGAAGCCATTCCCCTTGTCCTACCACTATCAGATCACGTAAAAAGTCAGTCCCTTTCCTGCTTGTAAGCTCCCCTCAAGTACAGGAAGGCCACAGTGAGGTCTCTCCCGCAGTCTTCTCCAGGGTGAACAAGCCCAGCTCCCTTAGTCTGCCTTCATAGGAGAGGTGCTTCAGCCTCTGGACCCACTCCAACAGCCCTGCACTCTTCCTATACTGAGGGCCTCAGGTTTGCTCAGTGAGCAGTGATTTAAAGCAACACTAAGATTTAAAGCTTGCTTTTTTGTGTGTGTGTGAAATATTATGCAGAAACACTTGAAAAACAAAGTAGATCCATATTTTCATAAATAAGGAATTACCATTCTTTCACCTTATTTTCAATATGTTGAAGATCCTCTATTGCACAACCCTACATATTAAAATATTATATCCAGAACTTCCCTCATAATGTAACTAACTAGAATTTCTTTTCCTTCTCTGGATAAAAATCCAGCTGAAATGTGGGTTTTGGATCAAGACTGAAAAAGTCTCATTTAATAGACATCTGGAAAAAGCAAGTGCTATGCTAGTGACACTAAGTGGTTCCAGTCTAACCATTAAGGGAATACAAACATGAAGAGGGTTGCTTTGCTCTTTCTTCGCAGCGTGATTAAAGTAACTATCAAAATTAAGTTCAGCTAGAAGTGAAAGAGATAAATCACAGGGAGAGGAAAAGCACACAAAAGTGCAAGAAAGGATACCTGCAGCCATGGAAGTGCACACACACACACACGTTCTTATATATTGATAGTAATAAATCACTAGGAAAATTACTAAATAGTAATAGAGACTAACCTCCACATTTTAGTAAAACTGTGCATCAGGCTCACACAGCGAGGAAGGGCTGGAGGTCTGAGTCCATCCATCCGGAGAAGGAGGGCAGCAACACCGTACAGAACGAGGTACTTCACGTAAAAAAATAACACTTGAGCTAAAGCCACACCACCTAAAAAACAAAACCACCACACCAAACTCATGTCTTAAACAATTCTTGTCATATTTCTAAAACCTGCAGATACTGTTAACTCCCAAATAGTCATTCATTATTCAAAAACCTAAAGCAAACAATTCCTGATTTTGTAACACGTACAGGACACGGAAGCACATGCAGTTATGACTTCAGACACACAAAGAATAGTACTATTATTCCAATACAAAGGCATAAGTAAGCACCCGTAATTCATAGAATCATAGAATCACTAAGGTTGGAAAAGACCTAAAAGATCACCCAGTCCAACCGTTCACCTATTCCCAATAGCTCCTACTAAACCATGTCCCTCAACACAACATCCAGCCTTTCCTTGAACACCCCCAGGGTCGGTGATTCCACCACCTCCCTGGGCAGTCCATTCCAGTGCCTGACCACCCTTTCTGAAAAGTAATACTTCCTCATGTCCAGCAGAAAATTCCACTTTCAAGATCTCACTGGACTGGGAGCATTGACAGCTACAAAAAACAAATACTGGCACTATGCAAAAAAATCAGAACTTACTGATACAAGTGACAAATATTTACCACAGCAGCAACAAATTTTCACCTTTGCCAAAATAAGTAAACACTGGCCATGTACAGCATCACCACATACACTCTTCACAGAGCTACGAATGATGGCCATCACTGCAGCTCTGCCCAAGAGCTTTGCAAACATCCTATGGCATTGGTGTCTAAACTTTTGGCTTGCCTGAGCTGCATTAACTGAAAGTATCACCTAGGGCTGCACCTATGAAGTTTACTCCAAAACTAACGCTTCCTAACCATTTTTGTGGATGCCCCATCCCTGGAGGCATTCAAGGCCAGGCTGGATGTGGCTCTGGGCAGCCTGGTCTGGTGGTTGGTGACCCTGCACATAGCAGGGGGTTGAAATTTGATGATCATTGTGGTCCTTTTCAACCCAGGCCATTCAATGATTCTATGATCTTTATGGAAACAACAACTGATACAAAGAGCACAACAACAACATTTAATAGAGCAAATTCTCAGCCACAAAACATTCTTTTTCAACACAGTCAGCACCATTAGTTATGCATTTTCAACAGCCATGAACAAGAGCCTACATGCTGTGTTCATAACAATCTCCACCAGAGGAGGTGACCCACTGTCACTGTTGCCGCTGATGAAATGCACCACCCACCATCTCACAGTGCTCACATTCATTGCTTGGTCTCTGTAAGCATTCAACAAGCAGTGATGAACATCAGGGGGTACCATTTTTTCCCACATGGAGGAATTCAATGACACACCATTGCTTCATATGCACTTCCACATCAGATGCCATTTTGTCAGACTGCCCTAATGCTGTCATCGGTCACACTGCAACAATATGCAACAGAATATTGGTGGGAATATTTCCAAATGTGTCCTGGTTTCAGCCCAAATGGGGTGAATGGTGCACCAATGTTGTTAGTGCTGAGAGATGATTGCACACCTGGGGCAGAGTCGCTGCCATCATGAAACAGCAGCAGGGCACAGCCCACAGGTCGGGCATGGTGGCATCTAGGGGACATGCAGAACTCCAACTAAAACCAGTCTGAAGTGAAATTTTGGTGGTGTACTGGTTCACAGCCCAACCCCAGGTCACAACAGTCTCACACAGGTGAGATGAAAATCAGACTAGCTATGCTTAAAGAGTTATTACTGCTGTGAATCACAGTCTTAGAATAGAAAATTTAGAATTGGCAGTAACAAATTCAGGCACCCTGAAACTGCCAACTGCCAGTCTTGACAGCTCAAAATTTCATGCTGAGTCTGACAATATTTGGCCTGTTATTTAAGAAGCATAAAAGGTTGTAACAGCGATGAGAGTTCCGATTGTCAGTAAAAAAACAAAAAGTAGCACTAAGATTCACAATAACAGAGCAAAACTTTTTTTTTTTTTAAGTTGTAAATACACAAGTAACCAGAAAACCCCCAAACCAAATAAAGCCCAGCCATGGTTTTTTAAATATCAGAACTTGGTGGCAGTGTGGAACACAGGAAAAAGATGACCTTTTAAACATCTCTGAATGCTTCCAGTTGTAAGTGAAGAAAGATGATTCACGTGAGTATTCTAAATGTTATTTAGCTGAGTAAAATGGAATTTGAGCAATAATTGTATAAAACAAAATACACTAAAAAAGCAGAGGCCACCATCTTCATTGAAACCCATGGGAGTTTACTCTCCCAGAACTTCTACCGACTCTCCCCTGATTGTCATTTGATGTTAGAAATCCAATCTCAAAGGAGGGAAAATGAAAATAATTTGTAAGAGTAAAAAACAAGAAAATGCCGTTGTTGTATCTCCTACCATTCCACTGATTTACCTTCTCTCACCGATAGCAACAATCTTGTGACTCGGAATACTTTGGATATTTAATACAATTTCAAAGTCTTCCAGCACAATTTCCTTAGAGACTAGACTCTCAAACTGACTCCAGCAGTCTAAGACTATATGAACACTTAAAGCTTCTGCCTTTTTTCCCCCCAAGTCAAAGCATCCCTTTTGCATTCTGTCAACTAACGATTGTACTACGGATGATGACCAAAAGTTAAACACTGAAAATCTAATCTAGTATATAATAACCTAGGGTAAAATTCTGGCTCTAGTAACGTCAATTGCATAACTCCTGCTGGCTTACACATGCCCAGCATTTTGTTGCTGCAATCTGCTGTTTTTAGTTTTAATATTATCATCCGCGAGCATGATATAAGAAACAGTTGTGCCATACAAGATACAAACTGATACCAGAAAAAAAATACCTAGACATGAAGCTTATGGCATTTTCCTTCAGGGAAGTAGTCATCTAATATTCAATAACATTCTTTCCTGGAAGAAAACAAACAATCCTAAGCACTATTTGGATAGTAACCAGTCAGCTACACATTAGATTACCACTAAATCATTTATACAGCCAACTTTCTGGTTTCATTCCTATCTCATCCAATTTCTCATTTCTTTTATGGCAAATTTCATTGGAGAGCTGAATGTTGACACCCACACAAACTGATTATAAAGACTACAGTTGTCTGTGCCTGGTAAAATTCAAAATCCTTTGGCTGTGCATGACAGATTTAGTGATGAAGATTTAGTGACCCAGACTACCACCCTCCTGAGATTCAGAACAATCAATACATTAAATTTTTAAATACAATGATGGAAAATTCAGAATTTTTACATGTGAAGTAGTAAGAAATATTAGTCTTACTAGTTGTGACTACTGGTGATCAGCAGATAGCTCAGTAGCACTGGCATCACATCACTGACATCATCACCTGGCACACTGGCTGCTGTGTGTGTGTGGCAATTCTAATGCTCCCAAGATCAGTGATGTAAAGCTCCCTGTCAAGATGTGAACGAAATTCATGCTGGTCTTCAACTCACCCCAGCTGTGTGAGTTCTGGGCCACACACCGAAAATCTGGGGGCAAGATTCACAGCCGTGTAACAGCTGGTCTGCACTGGCAACTTGCACAGGCTTCAAACCTTCTTCGCATACCTGAGATATTCCAGCTGCTTTGTATTCACACTATTATAGCACAAAGCAGCCAGAAGTACACTGCTTCATCTGATATAAAAACATAAAATTAAAAGAGATTCATAATCAATACGAAAATACTCAAATTCATTATCAGTACTACGCTTTGTTCACTAATGTTCTATTTAAAGCTTAAAAAGAACTGCTGAAAGAACATTATTTTAAATTGGAAACAAAGCCTAGAAGCTATATCACCTGTATATTAAAAACATCTAAGGGAAAAAATATTGCAAAAAGTACATCTTTTTCCTAAAATAAATGACCTCAAGGGGTTCACAGTCGAGTTTAAGTTTTGTGAGAACTAAAATGCATTAAGGGTTTTAAAATATTGATTTAAAATACCCATACAATCTCAGTTCCATGCATTTCAACAGTCAAGCTGCTCAAAATCTCAGATTAAATTAAGTATAAAGATTGATATTTTCAATTTCTCAACTTGCAATCCTTTTAAAGTATTCTAAGTTTTCCTTGACTTCAAAAACACATTTCTAAACCTTTACAGTTCTAACTTCTTCAAATTTGCTCCAAAACTGCATTTCATAAATTTCAGAGCTTTTCCAAGGATTATTAAAACATTCACAACTTCCCCCCCCCCCCCCAAAACTTAGCCTAATAGTTTTTGAAATTATCAGACAGATCATTTCTGTAAGTGACAGAAGTCTTTGACCTAGGGATTAAAAACAACTTTTCTGTCCGTAACCCATCACCAAAGCACATTTATGGTCAAGAATTGTACTTTAGCTTGCAGCGTTATTGATGAGGCATGAGCATGAAAGCATACATTCCCCTTTTTCACAGGAGTCCCAACCCTGCAGCATTAAGAATTGTAGATGCTTGTTTCTATCAATAACCAGAGCAGGTACAAGTAGAAAACATGTATTACAGTCAAACACGCAGCCATTTTGAAAGGGTTACTGACACATGACAGAAGTCTAGTAAGAAACACAGCTCAGAACTTGTAGTCATACCATCAACTTCAAAATACTGAGCCTCAAGGGCTCACTTACTCCTTTTCTCACATTTTACAAAAAATAAAAGTATATTATGCAGACCCTCACGCATGAAAAGCTCCACGAAAGAACATGGATCTGCACTGCAGCAAACTGGCCGCATGCATACACAGATCTATATCTCCCTGTATATATACAGTCCATATACCAGTCAGTAAGAGTAGGGTTAACTGCCAATATTATTTGGCTTTTAACCCCCAGAAAGCTTATCTAGCATTTTCACTCATTTCTTTAAAACAGTGAACTATCCAATGTTTTAGAGAACGTTATTAAGATTTCTGATGCATGCTTACATTCCACTTTCCAAAGCAGACACCAAGATACCAAGTATTTTAATCAGATTCTCCTTATCATTATCATACATGATGAAAGAAATCTCAGACTACTTCGTTAGTATTTCATTACCACTTAAATGGACACAGAGAC